GTAACGGCTGAGTCCGAGGGAGGGAGCGGGGGTGAATGTTCTTCGGGGTAGTCCTGGATGGGTTGGTCGGATGAATGCGGAAGTGGAGGTGAAGGAGTGGTGGCGCCGGGTTGTGCGATGTCATCTGGTTTCGGGTCGTCGGGTGGCGTGGAGGTGTTGGAGGGCAAGATGGGGTTGAGATCTTGGGGTTGGGTAGGGTTGTGGGGAGGGTCTGCGGCCGGCAAAGATGGGTCGGGCTTGTACGGGGTGGAGACTTCCCTAAAGTGAGCCGGGGGATGTCGAAGATGGGAGTGTTGGGGAACGTTTGCGCGGTGCGTGCGGCGTTGTCGATCGGTTTGGGCCAACTCACGAGCGGAGGAAGAGGTAGACGTCGCGGAAGGGTTATCGCCCGCGGTGGCGGGCTCTGTGGGGCGCTCCAGCATGGAATGCGGGTCGCTCTGGGCGACCTGGGCCATAAGATGGAGAAAAAAAGGGGTATAGTAGGTTATTAATGAAAGAAAGGGAAGGGGGGAGGGAGGGGGTGGGCGGGGGCGGTACGTTACGGGCAGGACGAGAAGGCAACGCAATTGAACATGAGCACAAAAAGGATAGAGGAAGGTGCGGAAAGGAAGTAGATCGGGATGCGGCGAGGGAGATGCAAACTGTAGATAGAGGCGAGGGTGGAGGAGGGGGGTGAGGAGGTAAGGGGGGGAATTGGCCAAGCGACAGTGGGATGGTAGAGTGTATGCAGGGATAGGCAGAAAGACACGATTGAGTTGCTCGTTCTCGAGAAAGGCGAAGGAAGCGAGCAGACAGGAGAGAAGGCGTTGGTCACGACATGTGGGGGAAGTGGCGGGATGGTGGGCAAGCCGATCGGGGCAATCGAGCTTGCAGCGGTGAGCGGCAGGTCAGGCGGGCGTTCCCTGGTGGGTCCGCATGCGACTCGCGCTTGCATCGATGCCCCGCTGGTCCGAAAGCATGCACAACAGGTATCAGTATTTGGTACGCTGTCATTCTGCCGCGCTCTTATTTACCCACCCCAAATGCATCTTCGCGACGAGTTTCTTTTATGCACGTATTCAGCTTCACGCCCAACCTGTTGGGTCCAATCATCGCGGCCAGTACGCGCTCTCTCCCTGTGTGAAAACTCTCCATCGTCTTGCGCGAGTCGAGGCGGCACAGTCGTGACACCCGTGACCGCCGGCCGGGCACTTCGGGCCGACCACGTATGAGGCTTTGGGCCATTGGAAGGACCGCCATACACGCGCGGTGAACTTGCGTTCCTCCCCCGGCAGTGGGGATGGGATGTTTTTTTCATTGCTTTTGTTAGCTGCGATGCTGTTAGCTGCGATGCTGTGCGAGATTGGCCGCCCAATCCCCTGCCCCTCTGCGCTAAGCTCATGCGTCTAGTCTCCATGCTGGTCCTGCTTTACAGCACAGCAATCGAGCTCTTTCTAGGTAATAATTCTCTCTACGTCGCAAAACCATTCCCAAGCCTGCAACCTCCATCGCCATGGCACTCCCTCACAAAATACTGTACCCAAGGGTACAGTACCCTTGGTAGTGTACCCTTCGAAGGGTAGTTTCTATCTCTACCATTCAAACCCCGCCTCCCGAAACGTGACACACGCCCCACCTGTCAATCTCCGCTTTTCCAGTCGTCGCGAGACCCATCCCACCGTACGTCTGTAAATTCTTTTTGCACCCCGTGCCAGAATAGATGCTCCCCGGCCCGCTCACATTACAGCCCTTGGCTGCACTGCATGCAGAACGCGTGCCACGAGCCTGCGTCCAACATTCCCGCACCTCGCCCTCACATTACGAACAACCCCAATCGAAACCTGCCCGCTCGCTGCACTTGTCGCCCGCTGGAAGCTCACCACCTTTCCGCCCATGTGACACCGCTTGCCGATACGCACCAACTACTTCTCCGCCACGCTCTACGACGCAGGCAAATCACCCGCCCACCGCGAAACCCTCTCACAGGCGCGGCGCCAGAGTAGCACTATAGTACTCATGAAATCCGCTCCACGCCTCGTGCCTTAGTCATGCTCGCCATTCCTAGCTAGGGGCTGCGCACCCACCATCCCTTCATCGAGATGACGCTAACATCGCCTAACCTTTTTTCCTTCTTCTAGCTGCCGCCGCGCCTCATGGACGGCGCCTCGGCCGGGCACCGCGTGCCCGAGCGGCCATCAGCGCTGCGCGAGATTACGGCGTATTTACTAGTTACTAGTAACACGTTCGCCGCGGCGTGTCGCGTTTCTCGCTTCGTCGTGAAGCTCTTCCACCCCATGTGTGCAGCCCCCTCGAGAGAAGGGGGACCTCGTATCGTTATACGGCACTCATACGCACATATCCTGGCGCGAGCGACCTGCGGTATGCGCAGCAGCATTCACATATCGTGTGACCTGTACGCAAAAGCGTGTCGGAGGCCATTCTGTTCTGTCGCCTGACACAGTAGATATTTTGTTGACGGTGGCGACGTAATGGCGGGCGAGTGGAAACCAGTCGTCTATTTGCACACACTTTCGCCTCGCAAATATGCTGCAAACTGTATCAGGCCGCCACAAAAAACGGAATCACGCGAACCTCCTCGCCTTCTGTTAATGCGCTGACGCAGCACTGTACGGTGGTCATCACGAACGTGTTATAGACAATGATGGCGTGGTGACATCACTTCAACAGTGGCGCGCTGTTTCCTGAGGCTAACGCACTTGTACGGTAAGCATAAGGTATGCACTCAGGTCCAGCACAGCACAAGTTTGTTCTTTGTCGATTTTGTGACCAGCTCTTGAACTGCTGTTTCGCATATGCCGCCCGGTTCGAATCATGCGTTCAGAAAATGATGTCGACGTGCATCTCACACAGAAATTTGCACACCGCACTTTCACACAGGAACATTCTGTCCCAGCTGACTCGAATGACCAGCAATGCTCCTTAATCAGCATGATCAAAGTCGGAACACCCCACCAAAAGTGGTGACATTCCATCGCACTACTTCGACGAGGACCAAAGGAGACATAGCGATACATATTTTTGCGACAGGCAGAACACGATCTCCCGTAGTTGAACAGGGTGTGCCCAGTCGAAGACAGCAAATGCCTACGACACTTTCGCATTCAGAGTTGCACCGCATCGTGTTAACGTTGCTTGTTTGCATCGCGATACCGGTTCAAAACGTCAGAAGCGTCTATTCACAAAGATGAAAAGGCGTGGGATAGGTGCATATTAGAGCAAAGCACATCTAGATAGCCCTTTGCTCGGTTTTGCAGACGGTCTCAACATGCCCCTCTAGTGTCTATTGGACGGACGTTTTTGATCATTTGAGGCGAAAAGAGCCTCATCTGAGGCTTGGAAAATAATAGCATCCTCACGGTTCAGAACATTAGTTACGCCCTGTCGAAGTGTCGAACATGACTGCAGTACCCTGTTACATGCCTCTTCACTGCAGCTATAATTTCCAGCACGAAGTAAACCACCATCGGTCCAGTCGCCATCAATACATATATTATGCCACTTAGAAGCGTTTTATTGTATTCCTTAATGCATCAACATTGGTCTTGTGAAAGGATATTCCAAAGTGGTTTGTGGCTACTGAGTGCTTCAGGACTCTTGTTGCGAGTGCATAGATGTGCGCTCCTCGCACCAGTCGCAGATCTGAAGTGGCAGAGGCCATTTGATTGACTGTGAGGATTTTTCCTGTCTGTCAGAGCATTAGAAAGACCCTCCTAAATACCGTGCATTCTAGGTGCCTTCAAGGGACTTGGACATTGTTTTTTACTCTTACTGTTACTGTTTCGCGGTAACTATGGCTTTCAGTTCTCCCTCTTTGCGCCAGAAACGGCGAGGCAAAAAAGCCTCATATGAGGCGAAATCCTCAAATGAGGCGCATTGTCCAATAGACACTAGGGGTTTGTGCCTATGGTCCATCAAATCTACGAGTTCAAGAGGTGAAAGGCACGTAGTTGGAATCGTCTCATCGCTCCCGTTAGCATGAGCATATTCGTCGCTGAGGATTCCCTCTTCTTCGCGCACAAGAGTTCCACAAATTGCCCGTTGCCCCGTTTGTAAATTCGGTGCAATGATCTCAATCAGTCACTGCTGTCCATTTACATCATAAACATGGCCGGGACACTGGCTTTGAAGTTGTATAATGTAATATGTTTTGGAGCAGCTGGCGTCACGAATGTTGAACGTCTACCGAACAGTTGCAAATTTCGTCTACTAATCACCAACAACATTGAGTTCTGAAACCTAATTTTGTAGGTTTTGTGCACATTGTACTGCCCTTAGAGCATCTCCACCGCATGGGCAAATTGTTTCTATATTTGGACACTTGTCAGGCTCCCACATGGGCATTCGTTTTGCGCATTCCGTTTGCGAAAGTACCACAAATCGCCGTTGCGCAAATCGCGTCGCGGTCTCCACCGCGCACTGCGTCGCACCCGCCCCCGATCCGCGCCCAGACTTCCCGCGCCCCGACTTCTAGGCCGCCCCCCACCCCGACCAGCAGGACACAAAGCCGAGGTCCAGTTCGTCGACGCTGACCTCTTCCACCCAGACTTGTCCTCGCCGCCCGAAGCGTACCCGGCCGCGTCGCCACCCAGGCCTTTGCCAGATGGTCGAGTTCAGTTAGCCCCCATCCACGCCCGCGGACTCCCATAATAAATGAGTGTTAACGCGTGCACAATGTCTGCGTGCGGGTGGATGCGGGCATGTGCAGTGCGAGCATAGACCGTCCACTGCGCATTTGGCATGCTCAGACGTTTTGGGCGGGTCAGGTGTACCCGTGGCTTCCCGCGTTCTTGCTGTTTCGGTGTCTAAAAGTAACAAAAAATCAGCCCGTTCAAGCAGAGGAGTGTTGCCAAAAAATGGGATTTGTGACGTGACGCACCACAAAATCAAAAAATATGTGTGCCGTCAAGACACAAATCCTATTTATCATACGATTTGTGGAACAGATTTGTGTGCAGATTTGCGCGGTGGAGACCAAACTCAAGCCTGAGTCGCCATATTTTAGAAATGGCCACAATTTGTCTGCGCGGTGGAGATGCTCTTAGAGCATCACCACCGGTAGAATCAAATAACCAAAATTTGATGATTTGATGTGGATTGACATCCCCACCGGTCCGACCAAATCATCCAATTTTTAGTTCCGAACCAAATATCGGAACCAAATTGTGAAGGTGGAAGACTGCCTTCTCGGTCGTTGACAGGACCGACGTCGGCGCTTTATTTACACACAGGAGGTGACACTAAAAACCGCACAAATTGTGCAGTTTCTCCCAATGACAGAAGTGAGTCAAGACCGGTCGGGCTTCGTCGCTGTAAGGACCAAGAGAGTCCCAATGACACGCCTCCTGCAGGGACGACTGCCTCGACTGGGTGCATACGCTACCCAAGGTGAAGCCCGGTCTTCATATGGCTGAACTGCGTACGTAGTAGGGGCTTTGTAAACATGTCGGCCAGCATCCGATTGGATGGTACATGGTGGAGTTGTATATGGCCTAGACGGATGTGTTCGCGTAAGTAGTGCGGACGAAGGTCGATAATCTTGCTCTTTTTCGTTGCAGCAGTGTTCTGGGCACCGGCAATTACCGCTTGGTTGTCCATGATGAGAGGGGTGGGTGTGGATTGTTCGAGGCCGAGGAAACGCAGTACGTGTCTCAGCCATTGCATCATCTGGACTGTAGCAGCTGCGGATACATACTCCGCCTCACAGGTTGATAAAGCTTGTATCTTTTGCTTCGTTGACGTCCACGCGATAGGACTAGCGTTGAAAAGGTGCACCGCGCCCGAGATTGACTTTCGATCGATCGTATCTCCTGCGAAGTCTGCGTCAGCATACGAATGGAGCGGGTGGGCGGGGATGTTGGTGTCGCGTATAAATGCGGTTAGTGACTGCACATCAGAGAAGGGATAAAAACCGGATTCCTTCTTCGCGTGTGGTTTTGAGGTACTTTAGTAAGTTCTTCATGATGGCCCAGTGTCTTTTTGTAGGCTTATGAGCGGCACAGCTAAGACGGTTGACATAAAACGTTATATCCGGGCGAGTGCAGTCCGCAATATACCGCAAATCGCCGAGAGTCTCCTGGTATTTTGCTTTCTGCTGCGGAATTTCGACGTCGTCAGTATCCGGTCCATGGTAGCGATACCCTTCCACATAGGGTGTATCTCTTCCGTTGGCATCTTCAAGCCGCATCATGCGGAGGGCCTTGTCAATATGGTGTGGTTGACTCAGGTGAATAGATCCAGGGGCTTCGAACGTGATTTTCCCGCCGAGGTAATGCGTTGGCCTTCCAAAGCGCTTCACTTCCTTGTGTTACTTGACGTTTAAGGCCATATAAAGCCAGTCAATGAGCGCAGTGTTGGTTGCCACAGTAAGGAAGTCGTCGATAGTTAGAGCAATGATGATAAACGAGTAAGGGCTAGTAGTTCGCATAAAGAGGCAAGGGTCGTCGGAGCTTTGGCGAAAGCCAATGAACGCAAGTCATTCTTCCGCTCCACTAAGGTAGTAGTAGCCACCTGACGGGCCGCCATAAAGGTTCTTAATCAACAAACCGCCCTTGCCATCGTGCTTAAATGAACCATCAAAGCGAGGGTGCTGGCGAATGTAGACCGGTTTTTCGAACTTGTACGGCTCCTGGACGAAGGCCGATTTGATGTCAAAGTGTTCGATTTTCAGGTGGAGAGTGTAGTATAACCCCCTCCAGTGGAACTAGATTTAGATTAGATCACACACGTGTGCCCCACGTGTATCATACGTGTACCACACGTGTACTGTCAGCCCCGCTGGCCGACAGTACCGGAGCGCAGGACGACCCGCGCTGACTACAGTAGCTCTACAGTACAGTCCGTACTGTACTGTAGTATGATAGACTAACTTGTACATTAAATACTGGGGCAGGCCGGCGGCGGAGGGGAAGGACAAGCACGAGCTTGTCCAGAACCCACGCCTCTGGTCAATGTAGTGCAATACGCACCTGGAAAGGGGGGTGAAAAGAAAGGAAAATATTTGGATATGAAAAGTAGTCCGGGTTGGGGGACACACGTGTGAGTAATTGCACAGTTTTAATTTTCAATTGTTTTATTTTATTTAGTTAATTAGTTGGCATTAATTTTGCTGACACTAGATTAGATCTAGGATCTAGAGCCGCGAGCTACTGTAGTGACTCCGGCGGGGCGATATATACCTTAGCCCTCTGACCACCAAGTCAGTAAAGGTAACCCGAGTTGCCAGAGTTGAATATCGCCTTGGTCGAAGTCCGTCTTTCCCAAGACGCTCCCTTTTACCACAGATTACGTTATCCTTTGCGCTCGGGGGTTCCCTTTTTCTTTTTCCTTTATTTCCCTATCCTTTTCTATCTCTACATCTATTTTTCCCTTAATTGTGTTGGTTCCACTGGAGTTGGTTGCGACCGATCCGGTGTAGGTGTTTTAGCCATCGGGCAACACGTTGTGTAGCGCTGCTACTGTTTCGAGTTCCGTCGGAAGGCTGTTGCAACGACGCCTCCGTCGAAGGTCTTACTGTACAAGACAGAGTTGGTACCACCTACCGCGATTGGGATCGAGCTGGTGAGGGTGTTTTTAGCCATCGGGCAACACGTCGGTAGTAGCGCTGCTACACGGTTACGATCCCGTCGGGTAGTGCTGAATAAGCCCCCGTCGAAGACCTTGAATTATACACAAGGTGCTGAAGACGCTCGTCGAGAATTGGCCTTACAACCCAGCGAACCGCGGTTACATCCTCGTAGACAAGCCCAACCCGCACTCGTCGAGCGCTCAAGTCTTCACAAGTCTCTACCACCATTATCCTCCCGGGCCGGGCATCTTTCCTTAACCCCCCGTCGGAGTTGAGCTACCGTGGGCCGCAAGCCCACACAAGGGGAAAGGGAGTCTCGAACGCTCCGTAGCGCCTGCCATCGGCAGTGGTTGTTGCTGATGTTGTTTTTCTTCTTTTCGTTTGATCGTCGGACTGTGTTCGCGGCCTGCCATTCACATTGCACTACAGTCAAGCTCGCCCCGCTTATTCTAGAACGGGTTCCCACTAGCCCGTATCTAGTTAGGAGCCGAGCGGGCAGGGGACGTGCGAGCACGCGAGCGAGCCTAGATCCGCCTCCGCCCGTCAGCGCTGGTACGTCACCCAGCGCTGCGCCGGGGCGTCGAGGCGTAGATCGGCCCGCGCGTGCGCGCGTCCCCGACCGTACCCGCTCTACCACCGCTACCCGGGCTCGCCCGGTTCCGTTAGCTGGGGTTGCTTCCCTTCTCCGATCAGGGTCTAGCAGGACTGTGCATACACCCCCTCGACGTTGGGGTGTTTATGCTACAGTAGTCTCCCGACCTAGAAGACCCCGAAGATCATTCCGAGAAAGTTGTCGTTTTCCTCCGCGTCCGTACGCGTCGAGATGAGCGAAGGGTCCGAACCCTCGATCCACTCCGCACCGACCGATGTGCAGGCGTCCGCGCTACGCGTCCGACCTGACGACGGCGCCGCAGGTCCTCGAGATCGCGAACCGTCGCTGGACTACTCAGACGGACGCGCTCGCGCAATGTACGAACGCATCGCGGAGTATGTCGAGGATGTCCGGACATCCCTTCGTATCGACGTGACCGACCACGTCTACGCCCGCTGTACTGACGAGTCGCGCTCCCTCCACGAAGGAAGGTTTGAGCGCGTGACTCAGTCCTTGGATAGCCTGCGCCGCTCGTCGACCAGTTGCACTCCGTCGAGTGTTGGTCGAGGACGCGCGCATCGATGCCTCTACTGTGGACGTTGCAGGTCGACCCGCGAGTACAAACTCCGGGGTATGACGAGACACGCAGCCTTTCCCTTCTGCCGAACAGATGGGAGCGTTCGCGCATACGGCTGCGGAACTCAACTCGACGAGCCGGTGCTCTCGTGAGTTAGAACAGAACTCGGCCGTAAGGTTGCCCGGAGCCCCCCCCCTGAGAGGGCCCGGTGCCACTGTTCCTCCGGGCGCGTCCGATGCGCAGGAGTGGCCTCCGACTAGTGCCGTCACCAGTCGGAGCGCGGAGGATATCAAACCAATGGCGGACGGGAACTTCGCGTCCGAGACTCAAGCTCTGCCGCATGCCCCGGAAGCATGCGCCAGTTGCGACAGGTACCGTACGGGCACGACCAGGACCGTGGTGGAGCCGCTCGCGGATCCGGAGAACCCGTGTTCTCCGTCGATCCTCGCTGGGGCGGCTACCCGCCGGTGGACTACACCGCGCACCCCGGTCCGGTAGACGTACGTACACTACCCGTCACCCCGTCAGAGGCGCTCGTAAGATGGAACAGGCATCGGCCGAAAGGTCGCCCGGAGCCCCCCCGAGAGGGCCCGGTGCCACTGCACGTCCGAACGCGCCCGACGCGCAAGAAGGGAGCCCGACTGGTGCCGACACCAGTCGGGTCACTGGGCAGCGAAGCCCCAAGACGGACGCGTATTTCGCGTCCGAGACCAAAGCGCTGCCGCATGTCGCCGGAGACATACGGCAGATGACACGCGTACCGTACGTGGACGACAAAAGACGCGGAGATACCGCCCGCGGATCAAGAGAACCGATTCTCTCTTTCGATCCCCGCTGCGGCGGCTATCAGCCGGTGGACTTCACCGCGCACACCGGTCCGGTAGACGTCCGTACGCTACAAGAATTCGTAGGCGGACTAGCCCCTTCGACCCGGGCCGCAGTGGCTGAGACGGTCCAACCATTGCCCGGACAACAGAAGACAGACCTTCCAACGATCCGCCGTATCGCGACGGCGGGAGGCACAACGTGCCGCGCTCGGCGCGGTTTGTCGCTTCCGGATCCGAAACCGGCAGCGAGGGGGAATCGAACCTCGAGATCGCATGCGACAAGTTCGCTTGCGGCATCCCTCCACATAGAAGAAGAGGAGAAGATGAGTGGCAGGCCGACCCTGTCCTCATTACGAGAGGCTACAAGCTCGTGGGAGGCCGACCTCCTACGCCAGCATCAAAAAGATCGACTAGAAGCTTCGCGACTGCGTTCGCGCACATGCTGAGAGCCGCGAGTGGTACGGACCACAAGGTCTCGAAGCTGGATATCTCCCGTCAGGCAGGAGGATGCGTGCCGTCCTGCGTGCCTCAGCTTACCGACGAAGAGGCACGCCACGCGCCATAGTTCGCTTCAACGGAAGGTAGCGCGTACGTGTGATGGCTATGCCGTAAGTACGGCCACGTCATGCACGCGTGCGCGTTCCTGTCGCCAAAACAACGAATGTTCACGACGTACAGCCCACGAGGAGGCTGGTGCCGTCGCAACGAGCTTGATACTCGTGACCGACGCGACTTCCGCCATGCGGATTCACGGTACCCACGCCAAGAAGGAAGAGGAACTGGGACCGATCCCGGCTTCCTCAGGGGGTACAGAACGCAATCATTTACATCCAGGATTGGGCAGAAGATTTGGATCCTCTGCCCTTGGACGAACGTGGAGCAGCCCCGACGTTGGCTGCTCCCCAAGTGTTGTAGCGTCCGGACGCTGCAACCCGAGGCCGCGGAGTACTCGGGTTTGATGTTCCACTCCGCCCCACAAGAAGCCACCGAGAACCCCGTGGGTCCGGTGGCGACCACAATCCGCAAAGAACGCGAAGGCGCCCAGGCTTCCGTAAGCCCGGCCCGTGTCAATGAAAGAGAAGACACCCTGACCTCC